CAACCTCTCAATACAAAATTTACATAAAGAATTAATTCAAAATTAAATAAAAAACTTAATATAAAAATTAAAATAAAATTACAATTAAAGATGTAAATGAAAGAGCAATATTAAAAAACAATAGGCAAAGGGATATTAAAACAACAAAGGGAATAAAGTAGCCTAAATAAAATAATCAAATAAATTAAAAATAGATAATAGGCCAATGTATATGAGAACTATAAATCAAATCACTCTTAATTTAAAGAAAATAAATCAATTTAAATTAATAAATAAAACAGAAAATAAATAATAAGGTAGAAATCAAAAAATGAATTCTCAGTGTAAAAGGCCAAAGAAACAGAATTACAGGAGAGAAAGAAGGAGGTAACTTTTGAGGGACGATTTAAAGGAGGAGTAAGTAGAAGCATTGCGGATATCTAAGGGAAGAGAGTTAAAGAAAGAGGGGGCATTAAAGCTAAATGAAAGTTTGAAAAGTTCAAAGTGGGGTCTGGGGATATGTAAGTTCCCTTTAGTGATCTGCCGAGTGTTCATGCGGCTATTTGCAGTTATTTTTGTGAGACACTGACAAATTGTTTTGGGAGCAAGATTGTGTAGAGCTTTAAAAGTTAAACAGCCAAGTTGATATCGATATCTGTCATGGAAATTGTTTGGGGAGCAAGATTGTGTAGAGCTTTAAAAGTTAAACAGCCAAGTTGATATCGATATCTGTCATACATCAATAAAAGATTGTTTGCTATGATTCAAAGCAGTCGCTATCTAAAGAATTGTATTTCTTATATGTCTACATATTTTATGTATATAATATTATATACAGTAATTATAAAGCAGCAGTAATGTATAAACAGGTAAATAAACAAGCATATCTTATTCACGTATACATCAGTTAAAAAAATAGTTTTCTATGCTTAAAAGCAGTCGCCATCTAAAAAATTGTATTTCTTATAATATGTCTACATATTTTATGTATATAATATTATATAATTATAAAGCAGCAGTAGTTTATAAACAGGTAAATAAACAAGCATAAGCCAAAGTAACACTATTACCATTATTTATTTGGAGAGAAGACAGCATTTCAAGCATAGCTCTTCGTCAGGTAAGAGATGAAATATATAGGCCTATGGTAACTGTAATGTTGTTAAACATTTGTTTAAAACAGTCAAAATATAATTAAGCATTTGATTGCTCAGGGTAAGAAGAAGACGGTGTTAATTTAATTTACGGTATTTAAATAAATCAATTACCGTGTGGCGTATAAATTCAGTAATATAGTCAGGCAATATGGCTTTTTAGCATTAATCTAAGCATTTGATTGGATGAAAATTCATGACGTTAAATTAACAACCGTTTAATTATGATGACGTAACGGCGTTAAATATAATAAATGGCGTTTCAGCGTCACGTTACATCAAGCTCAGTTCCCACTTGCAGAAAAACTGCCGCAACGCAACGTACGCAACGCAGCGTAAGGAAATGCTCTTCCGGCAATTTCGTATCCCCCCTCCTTACGGAAAGTTGAATTTGGACTTCTTAGGCCTGAAGAAAAAATAATTATTATAAATCAACAATTATAAATTTTTTGCAGATATAAGCGCACCTAGATTAGGCCTACTATTTATGTAGAAAATACACAATTTTGTTGTTCTCCCAGACGACTTGTGACGACCCTGACGGCTCTATCAAAACCAGGCTACTTGGCTTGGCTAGGGCAGATTAGGCTATTATAGGTTATGATAAGATAGGCCATGATAATAATAACAGTAATAATAGCAGCATGCATCATTGATAACAAACAATAATAATTATTATTTAATTGGCAATGACTAGAGCAATCGCGACGGTCTAAGATGACAGATCAAAAATATGTAAACACGAAGCACTAACTACAAATCCAACAGTAACATGCGCAAATTAGCTTTTTGCTTGCGTTGCGGCGCTTGCGTTGCGAAAAGTTGAATTGATTCGTTGCGTTGCGTCCTAGTGGGAAACAAGCTTTAGGTTATGGCATTGTAGGCGTCTACCATCTCAGCTTTTTTCGTCATATACGGGAGGCTACCATTACATTTGTAAAATATTCCTTGTAGAATTTCCTTACCGCCAACTTAAAATCATTAAACTTGAAAGCATAAATGATAGGATTAATCATAAGATTAACAGCATTGAGGATTACTGTGATCTCATTAATGAGTGAGGAATTATACTCAAAAGACTTTGAGATCGTATAAAACAGATAGAGTATATGATTCGGGGTCCAGCAAAACAGGAATGCTATGGTAACTAATAATAGCATATACGTAATACTTCGAATATTACGTGTAAAATATTTTTTCCCATGGCTCGACTTTTCAGTACATTTAGGCTGTACTCTGTAGTAAAGTGTTTTTAGTATGAACGTGTAGCAGACGATTATAATCAGGAACGGTATCAGCCAAGAAATTACGAAAATAAAAAGACCCGATGCAACTCTGGAGGCGTCACTGCTATAATTGAAGTAACACTTTCCTGCATTATTCGTGTCGCCAAGAACTGCGAGGTGGCATGCGACTGTAATACCAACGATGTGAGGAATTACCAGGTATCGTTTGTTGCTCTTATTGTGGATTTTTTCTCTATACGTTATCGGATGAATTACAGCAATATAGCGTCCTATGGTCATGATGATATGGTTGTACGTTGACGCGTACATAAATGACCAGAAAACGGAGCGTGTTTTACAGAATATTTTACCGTGAACTCCGTTTGGTGCCGAATTGGTAAAGTAAACTAGAAACAAACAACTTGCAATGATATCGATCACCGACTGATGTAGAAGAAGAGAGTAAGTAAAAGACTTCTTGTGGATCCTGGCCCATAAAAACATCACTAGTACGAAGATATTGGCTGATATTACAAAGAAACCAACTGTAAAGCGAATTGTAGTAATTATAAGTTCTCTGTCGCCATCGTCTATTACGGTTGTCATGCTTCTAGTAAAAAAGGTAAAATTAGTTGTCAAACAGTCGATCATGTATAAATTATATTATAAGTGCCTAGAGGATCACAAAAAGTTGCTTAACTCCATTATAAGGCTTAAATTGTTAATACTGTACTGTTGGCTATAATAATGAGAAAAAAAACCCCAGGATACTATGAATTGAAGGCAAGTATCTTAAGCCCGGCACTCACTGGGCCCGACGGTGTTCGGGCGACGCGATTCCATGAAAAACTCAACTCGACGATGCTCACGCAACGGATGACGATCCGTTTAGACTGCCACCGACAGTCAGCAGACGGCGTCGCGTCTCCTAGCGCTCACCGGGGAGCGGAGTTGGATTCGTCGTGCGACGGTCATACGACGCGTGAGTGCCCGGCTTTAACTACCAAACTACATGCAATAAATGATACCGTAGTGCATCATACACAAACATTCATCACATCACTATATTATAGTCAAAACGAAGAGTCAACAATTTTCTCATGACCTTTATATATTATTTTGAACCATAGATATCGACTTAATATCCAAGACAACTTAGACCCAACTTATGCTTTAAGTACTATAATAATTATGATCGACAAATCACAAGTTTCCTTTTCGCCTTTAGCACAATTTTTAATATTAATAATATTATCTACTACACGTTTCATAATTACCATCATCATCATCGTCATCATCGTTATTATTATTATTATTACTTCTGAGTAGTAGTATTATTAAACAAAACTATAAATGCTTGCAAAATGATAGAAACCAGCCTGAACCATACAATATCACATTTTTGTAGTTTGAAAGACATTGGCCTGGGATTTATGGATTTAAGGCGAATTTAAGTTGAATTTTTGTTAAGTAAGTTTGCTAAATCCACCCCTTGAGCAGTAGCCGTTATAAATTCGAAAACTTAATTTTTTGCATTATCGTGTGCAGTGAAAATTGATTAATCTAACGAATATTTCACTGGGTTACTATCGGGTTAGCGAGTGACTTTTATTGGTAGAATTTTATGGTGGGTTTCTATTGGAGCACGGGTCACAAACCTAACAGTAAAAGGAGTCAATTAGAAATTGTACAGTATTAAAATCAACACCAAGTTATATGAATTTGTGCTGATGCATATTTACATATTTTATAGAAGTATTTGAGTGATCCCAGGAAAGTATGTGTAGGCCTATTTACTAGCAAGAACGAGCTTTAAAATTCTAACACGTTTACAAGGGGGGGGGGGGTGGAGCCGTGGGATCCTGCACTCTTTGAAAATAGGGTGAGGTCATTGTCTCCCGGTGTAGCCTACTGTCTAATCACCACCAGAAGGACCCCACTGGGAAACAAACCTTATCCCACATCCCTACAATGTAAAGCCATATATGAAAGATACGCACGAGTATATGAGAATGTGCAACAGCAAAGATTGGCTGAACACTAAGTAGTGGTCACATTAACACATTGTCATAAACTACTTACGGTCTAGATGTTGCGATGGTCGTCATGTTGCTATCCATTGCTGCGTTAAGTTTGTTCTTTCGCGTTATAGTAATCAAGGAACCAATATTATGTTCCGAGGTACCTCATGCACTAGTTAGTTTGTACATTATATTTCAATAAGATCTAGCATCTTTGGATGGGCATATATTAAATTGAAATGGGTCTGGTCGTGGGAATATGGTCCGTGACGTAATACTGTATCTTATGTTTATAAACATTTGACATCAATGTTCAAATAACATGATAGGCCTATGATAATCACACGATGGTAAGTAGTGTCAAATTGAGGATTAATATGTGTCTATATGACAAGCCTGAGAGCGCAAAAGACGATTAGACCTATTATTATTATTATTATTATTATTATTATTATTATTATTATTATTATTATTATTGTTGTTAATATCATAATTATTATTTAAATATTATTATTGACTTTTTAAAATTAATATCCATATTCATGTTATTATTGATAGGCCTATTATCATTAGGCCTAATATTCATATTATCATTAATATCATCATTATTGACGTTATCAATATTCATATTCTAATGAATATTTATATTCATATTATTACTGTTATTGACATTATAATTAATATTCATATTATTACTGTTATTGACATTATAATTAATATTCATACACTATTATCATTAATATTATCATTATTAACATTATCAATATTCATATTCTAATGTATATTCATATTGTTAATTTTATTATTGACATTATATTATTAAATCTAATTATCATCCTCATCACAACCACCACCACCAAGTATTCAGCATTAATACATACGGTGCCGTATGGATTTCACTTACATTTGAGAACATTATAATTACAGGTAACAGACGCACTTGAAAAGATACGGGACAAGGTGCCAGATAAGACTTTGAAGTACACCGACATTGGAACTGTAGTTGATGATGGAAAATTGCTAATGTCGTTTGGCTCGGGTATGAATATACAAATAAAATCATCTGTACGATGTCCGCACGTTTCCTCGTTACAAAGGCTGCCCATCCAATTGACCTTTCCGCTAAGCCCCGCCCCTTAGATTTTGTTGCTAAGGTCCCACAAAACGTTAGCGTTAAAACATACCGTAGGCAAGCACGTGAGTTTGTGAGACAGCTCGTGTATTCCTGGCGCCTTTCTGATTGGTCAGTTATGTTTGATTGACACTCCGGAAAGGCGTCTATAGACGAATCTATGAGAACTTTTTTGAACGTCGCCCTCTTTTTGTCGACTCGATTACTGGGGTGGAATTTCCGAAGTAGGAAGATGTCTAAATACACGAAATATATAACTTTGATACATTTTTAGTTTGAAGACTGATGGCATTATTCAGCTGCAAAAAAAAGCCGGATTTCTCAATGGTATTGTGTTTATAACCATACCGCATTGACATTTTAGGAGTAGGCCTAGGTGTAGGGTCCCTCCAGTAATGGTGTCGACAACAAATGGCGCCATTCTTCTTGGATTCGTCTATAGCAAGAAATCCTATTAAAATAAGACTTTGAGTTGCTTTATAAACTCACGAGAGTGTCATCAAAATGCAATAAACAGTATAGTATATATTTAGAAATTGCATAGTAGTCAATTATTGAATGAACCATTCCGGAGTGTAAATAAAACTTAACAACTGACCAATGGCAATTAGGACAACAATACGCACTTTTCTACCAAACGCACGTGATCTTTACAATCTAACATTGATGAAAGAATAGTAGTCTAGCTCAATACAAGGAATGCCAGTACACTTAGTAACTATGTGCACATTCATTTTTTGTAACAATTATCTTGGCTTGTCCTTATTATAGGCATGACGATTTCATATCATGCCCATTATACTGGAAGTCACAGTTAGTACAGTATATGTAATTACGTTTTAATATCTAATTCAAAATATAGTTCACAACGGCCCTGGTGCAAGGTTAGCGGGACTTCTCATTACGGATATGACGTATGAGGAACCTCAACCTTCTGATGACGAGGTAGCCAAAGAAATCGAAATTAAAACTGAGGTAAATATTTTCGGAGGAATAGCCCCCTGGACCCCGATAGTAGATAAGGAAACACTCCAAAAGCTTCTTATCTGGACCACACGGCTTATGTTATTGATTGCCACTCGCACCAATTACCGACCAAAAAACAATCTGTATCATTCAATCAATTAATGGATTTATTGATTGACGTCATAGTAGCTCCGATTTACAGTACATTTAACATGATGTTGTTTTTGCTTTCAGTTAGCAGATAACTTATTTCCTCTCGATCGATCATTGGCCAAAAAGCAGATAAAAATAGCCGGATGGTCTTCAAATCTTCTTGAAAATGCATCTGGTGAGGTAAAACATAGCCCTTTAACGTTAATATTATTTCAAAAAACTTTTTTCCTCAATCCTGACTCGTTGTGCCTGACAGAGGGTTGAAATTATTCTAGACTAGATGAAAATATGTGTGCTGACTTGCATTTAAGAGTCAGACGACGCATCTCTGGGTGTTCTTCTAGAGACATAAAATAAACAGTAGAGTACTTTCTTAAAAACAATATGTTTCAACATCAGGATATGCTTAGGATAACAGCCAATACTTGTAATTTTGAAGCCTACAATGTACGGTATTCATTTTTTCAGCGTGCAGATATGTCTGGCTGGAATTATGGTGGAGATTGGAAAATTGTAAGAGGAGGAGACAACACTGAAAGCCGTGAGTCTTTTTGGATGGAATATTCTAATAAAAATAAATTGTATATGAAACAAAACGTCATAGTAATACATTCTTATAACTTTCTACTATAGGATTCTCCTCGTCGCACATGAATTGCGTCAAGAATCAGGAAATTAGCCTTCTTGCACACTTTTCAGAAAAACATTTGGATTCCAGTCCAGAAATTCAGGTAAATAAAATACACTTATGCCTACATTCATTGTATTCAAGGCGAATTATCCTCTTATAATTCATGTGTGTATAATGAATACAAGTAGCACGTGATCAACTAATTCACATGAATATCGCTCTGCGCATTTTTTCCCTTAAAGGCATCAGAATCGTTTCATGAAGGGAGCTGTGGTGGTGGTTTCTACTCATTAACTGTTACTTTGATGGATGCTAATGGCGAAGTCATTACCACACAGACTACAGGAGAAAAGGGAAGTATAAAGTCCAAAGGCTGGATCCGTGAGACTTTTACATTTAAGAATTATGGGAAAGGTCTTCGCTTCATCTCATTCCAAGCAACTGGTGAGGATAACATTTTTCGGTACAGCATAGGGAACGTAAGGGCAAACCTAAATTTGCAGGTTTTGGTTTTGCCTTCCAAAAATAGAAACAGAACATAGGTATTTTGGCACGATCAAGGCAGCCGTTTCCGGTACTAATAACGGTGATTTCAATAATAATAATAATAATAATAATAATAATAATAATAATAATAATAATAATAATAATAAGAATAAGAATAATAAGAATAATAAAGATTTATAAAGCGCACATCTCCACCAAATGTGCTCAAGGCGCATTAGTCTCTTCCTCACAGTTTTTGTTGTTAAGCCTGATTATAATATGCTTACATTTTTCAATTTATTAAATTTTATCAAATATTTGATAGTCAGCATTGAAAATGTATATGTTTTAAAATAGAGATCATA